CCCCAAAACCCCAAAACCCCAAAACCCCAAAACCCCTTCCTGCTAACCAAGTATTGGCACAAGAGATAAAAAATAATGCTAAGCTTCAAGGTCGGGCTCATCAACTCTATGAGCATTTTTGCTCTCTTCGACTTCCTCTTCACTCTCCTCTTCTTCTTCACTTTCATCATTCTTTTTATTATCAACCACTTTTACAGTAGCTTTCCTCATTAATGACTTTGGTTCATTGCTTTCTGGGTTTGGTGCATTTTCATCCTTGATTTGAATGAAGGTTGAAACCTTTGTCCTACAAATAGGGCAGTTGTTAGACTGTCTCCTTACTATTTGGGAGCATTCCATGCACAATCACATGTGTCTTCAAGGAAGCACGACTGTATCCTTGTCATTGGTGAAGCAAATTACTCATAATTTGTTAGTATCATTTATCAGGTTGGCAGTTCCACCCTCAATCCCAAAGATCTCACCTAGGTCAAACATTCTATTATTGAACAAGAACTTGGCTTTAAGACAATGAAAGGAGTAGTCTGATCCTTCAAGGATGAAAGAGCCATAGATTATCTGGCAACTTTTATTTAGCCTTGCCTTTATAATCTTCAGGGTAATCAGTCTCGATCATTAATACAACAGGGAAGTAATCATCCTTTGCTTCAGTTAAGTCAAGCTCTTTATAAGCAGTAGGATTTAAGATATTTACCTTTGGTGGGAAATCCTGCCCGATTCCGGCTGAAAATTTATACTGATTGGGACAAGGCAAATCTGGAGCAGTAACAAAATGTAGAGGAATATTATTTGCATTCTTAAGTTCCTGTCATCACACAAAAATAGTAATAGTACAGTTATATGTTGAATCAAACTGGAATGAGAAGTAATACTTCCCTTCTCCATCTTTTACAAGCTTGATAGTATCCTTTCTAATAGCTGAATGCATCTTTAAGACAGCAACTTGGCTAGTGGTGTCTTCTCCATCACTATTTTGTAAATAATTCTGGAATGGGTATTGATTATCATCTCCATCATTTGGTCTTGCTGCAGCTGGGATGATACCGCTATTTGCTCTTCTAATGTTCTCAAAAGCTGAGTTATTATCGTTATTATTTGATCCGTTTCCTCCCATTTTTAGTATGATTTTGTATTAATAATTTTCTATTTTAAACTTTAAATAGGGGTTTTGGGGTTTTGGGGTTTTGGGGTTTTGGGG